TATTCAGTCGTGTTGCCCTGCAAATTTGACACACCGCACATCTTTAAAAATCAAAAGAAACTTTTCAGAAGTTTTGCTAGCATTTGCCAAATGGTAGAAGTAAAGAGAACTAAACACTGATTATGGATATTGCGATTGATGCTGTCTCTGGTGGACCTAATTTCTATAAGATGTAGTGAAAGTTGGTGTGCTTTGTACAGGTCCAGGTGACTGAATGGGTTAAACAATTTAAGGTCATCAGCAAATAACAAAAGAGGTATTGATGACAATGTAAGTTTAACATTAATAAATAAGAGAAAAAGTAGAGGTTCTAGCTGCGGGCCCTTGGTATTCCTGAGGTTGAAAAAATGTTTTTAGAAATGCAAAATTTGTTTTATTATAATTTTATGTCTGATTAGTTAAATAGTTTTGAAGCTTTTTAAGTAGATGACCATGAATTCCAACTTTAGAAGTGACAAAGCATGGTTAAAGGAATCAAACACTTTCTCAAAATCTGTATAAATCATATCAGTGCGTCAGTTGAGAATTCTGTTTCAGAATTTCAATTAGGTAATGCTCAGATGTCAATAAGTTAGAAAAATGATCAACTATTACTAAAAAACAATGCGGCTCTAAAATTGGATTCTATAATGGAATGATTTTATTGATTACTATCATTTCAAAAAGATTGGATATTGCACTGAATATGGAAATAGGTCGATCAATTCTTACACGTTTATGGTTTCCAGATTTATAACTCGGGATAATCAAGCTAGTTTTTATATATAAAAATTGTATAATTGGTGTCATATTTGCAATACATGCTTTCAGAAGTGAGGGAAGGTCCTTTATGATCTAAAGACTTGCCATAAATACTTCATTTTGTGTAATTTGTAACATTGTAATATTTAGTTATAAGATAAATTTATATTTTCATCCTTTGGCTAATAGACATCTTGAAAATAATCTGAAAATAACTTTAGAATCATTGACCCAGAACATCCAATGCTTTCGTCCAAAAATCCAGTATTTGGAATACCTGTTGTACCAAATTTACTATTTGTAAATTTCCAAAACTACTTGAAATCCCTTAAGAGATAATTGCATATTAATGATACCAATCTTTACCAAGAGTCTGTTACTCAAAGGATACAGCAGTTATACTTGGGGGCTTCATTGAATTGGCCAGTCCCAACATCATCTCTCTCGAAGTGTCACAAGCCTTTCTTGATGTGTATAACGGTACTTCACTTACTTAACCACACTTATCTACACCAACTCGCAATAGATAAAACCAAAAAATCATTGATTCTAGATTTGATTGTGACGAATGATCCACAAAACTTCCTCCCCCCACAACTGAGTGCACCAATTGGCAATAGTGATCATGTTCTCATAACCACAGCTTACTTTAATGTTTAAATCGCATGAACGAAATCTGAGGGAAGACTGTTTACAGATTACAATAGGATTAATAGGGAACTAAGAATCCACTCATTAAATAACTCTAAAATTGATAATCCATCCTTGTTATGGAATAATTTCAGGGCAACAGCTATGTCCCTGTTATATAATTACTCCCCTTACTTTAAACACCGCAAAAGTATTTTTAAACCTTGGATTAACCAAACGCTATTGTGCCAAATATATTATAAAAGGAATCTATGGAAACAACACAAGTCGATTAGACTACCCTATGTATGAAAGAAATATAATAATCAATGGCATGAGATCAATTTCTCTCTTCAGATATGCTGACTCAGTTTCGTAAATGATATCGTGAAAAAAGATGGAGAAGCAAATATTGTATGCAAACCATTCCTCATGACAATGGCTCAGTTTTGTAAATGATATCGTGAAAAAAGATGGAGAAGCAAATATCGTATGAAAACCATCCCTCATGACAATGGTTCGATATCTTTGAGCTAAAACAGTGGTGAACTAACTATAAACTGATGGGAAATCTTTGCTTGGATTTGATGCTGAAATCTTTGCATCACAGTTTGCAAAATCAAATATTGTTGAACCACTTCCAACATTACTCTCGCACCAGGCAGAAATTTTCCTCAATGGCACTTCCAACCAACAGTATGCATATTAAACCGCCTAAACATCAATTCATTGTGTAGTCCAGATGGTATTAACACCTATCTCTCTGAAAAACTCTGGAGAAGTAATTTCGGCAATTTAAACTAGATTGCTTTTCACTCGATATGGGAGTCAACTCTCCTGACTGGTAGTTGGCTGTGATGACTCCTATCCACAAGAAGGGTGATAAATATAACCCAGGAAACTACTGACCCATTAGATAGACTTGTGACACAAAGTGTTGGAATGCTTTATTGTGGAGAGGCTTTTGGAATTTGCCCTTGAGACAGGTTCTATTCTGCCAGAACAACATGGGTTCGTCTCTAATCAATCAATAGTGACAAACCTTCTTTTGAACATTATTGGTGGACTAACAATTTGGATGTTGGTAATCCAACAGATGTTATCTATCTGGATTTCTCAAAGGCCTTTGATAAGAGTCCCTCATAGGAGTCTTCTCCTGATGCTTGGAGTTCATGAAACTTCATGCCTGGCTATCTTCATACTGTAGTACGATTAGTCAAAGTAGGGCATGAGACATTCAGGGACTATCCTTTTACTAGTGGAGTTCTGTGGGGATCTGTCCTTGGAACTGACCTGTATATTATATATTCTAGCGATCTACCTCATAAAATACAAGAATAAAACACTCCAACTATGATCTCGCTATTTGTTGACGACTCCAAATTATCAGCCAACTTGCTTACTATCAATGCAGACATACAAAGAGATCTTGACAAAATCTCTTTAAGTTCGCAGACTTGGCATATTCCTCTGAACAAAGCAAAAAGCTTCGTAATCCACATTGGTAAAAACTACCCTTGTTTACCATACTATCTAAAAGGACAGAGAATGAAGCCTGAAATCTGAAACAAAGACATGGGGATAATGATTTCTGAGGACTTGAAATGGGAGAAACATATTAATTATATAACTAAGAAAAGCAAGTAAAATCTCTATCTTCTGTGGAAATCCTTTAAATACCTAGATGGTGAATCATTTAAACTTCTCTACCAAAGCTTCATCCTTCCAATTATTGAATATGGCAGCACTGTTTGGAACCCTTATTTGAACAAGGACATCTTTAACTTTGGAGAATATACAGCGGAAAGCCCCCAAAATAATGTTGGTAGGGTACCTGAAGAATAATTTTCTTGTAAAGCATCATGGTTTTCTCAGGATTACTTTTCTTTTTGGTTGATTGACGTGGCTTTTCTACAGTGTACAGTACACTGTTGCTTTATTTGATGAATTTGGCACTACTGCAGTCAACGTAAGACTTCAATTCTGCTTTGAGTTGCTTTAAATGGTCCTTTTGTCGAATGGTTTGGTCAGGTCGAATGTGAACCTTGCCCTTCAAATTTCATTTGGAGCATAGGGCCTTTGAATCAGCACTTTCATCACCCAGTATAACTGTACTTGTTTGATGTTTTGATTTATCAACTATTTGAGAGAAGTTTTAATTTGAAGATCTTGGTGTGGAATCACTCTTCTCTCCCATTCTAATAGCTGTGGTAACTACTAAAACACATTTATGGATGAAAGGATGTCAGTCACTCTACCCATATCGCTTTTCATTTATTGTTGTTTAATTGTAAATCTACTGGAACACAGACCATAATATTTTTTGCTCTAATTATTTGATCGTTCAATTTGGTGTAAAGGGCATGTACATCCAGTGATGTACACAATGTCTTGAGGGTGGTCAATTTGCATGATGCCAAACTAGACTTCAGTTCTTCAATTTCTTGTTTAAGTGGTTTGATGCCCTTGGATTTTTCTCCATTTCATCTACACAAATCACTAGGGACATATTTAACGAAATGTAATTTTATTTCTTTTCACTTTAAAACAATGTCTTTTACTATAAACATTAATTTGATGTTATGACAAAAGGAAAAATACCCATTTTTATGTCATTTTTGCACTTTTTCTCTATTTTGACTAATAAGTCATTTTTTACCTTTTCTCATCATTTTTAAAGCATTTTCGCTGACTTCAATTTCATTTAATGGTTCTTGCTTTAAATAATATTTAAGAAATGAAATAATTGTTCTCTACAGAATTCCTAAATAGCCTATTCGATTCCCTTGCTTAGAAATTGTAATATCAGGTTTCTATGACATCTATTTTGTTTGCTTTTTGAGTGTGGTATAAAAACATTTTAAGAGCATTTTATTGTTAATTTTTGGCTGTGTTTTGTGTCATCAAAATCCTCCCCATACAGATCACAATGACATACAAGAGAACACTGAGTGACAACAAAGATCTTTGCCTCAGAAGCAGTTAGGGAAGTGTATCCTAAATGGAATTTCCTTGTGCAGATATAACAGACAATGAAGACACCCTTGTTAATAGGTTGAATTTCATCAGTACAATCCTTTTTGCCACATTTCTCTGAAGTTGGTTGATTCTGATTGTGTATCACTAGGGCAGACATTCAACACCAAATTCTATGCGGAAATGCTCAAAAGAATGTAAAACAAGGTAGCTGCTTCAGGAGAGAAATCAAGGATTCCTGGACGCTTAACCATGTCAATGCACCCAGTCAACGCCTTTTTGTCAGCTAATATTTGACCCTGATGGGTGTGACACTGGCTCTCAACTGCCCTATATTCCCAACATGGTCCCGGGATATACCCGTTTGTTTGAAATGATGTCATTGGGACACTGTTGAAAACATCAAACAGACTACAAGAAGGTTTATTACAGACATCCCAGTTGAGGTTTTCCAAGGGGCATCTGTGGCATGGAAATCTTGCTAGCACAAATGTATTGACACAGAAACAAAGTTGCATTACTTTTGGGTCATGTATAATTAATTATTTGGGTGCTAATCTTGTTTATTTTGTGTTTTTTGTTAAATACTAATGATTTCACTTTAGCTACATAGAATTTCAAATTAACTTAAAAAAATATTTGAACTTTTCTAGGTTTATCAAGCATCATCATCCACAAGAACTGCTCCAGGAGGTGTTAAGGAAGTGAAAAAGACTGTGTGTGATTCTCGCACAGGTGTGAAGAAAATGGCGATTGGCCACCACATAGGTGAACGTGGTCATGTCCTAGAACGTGAACAGAACTTGCACTCTGGTGATAGGGAAGAGCGACAAGAATTCATTAATTTGGATGAAGGTAATTAATTCAGCATCCCTACCTAAATTTGTGTTTATCTTTTAAAATGGTATAGTGTATCGCTTATTACTTTCACCTACTGACAATCTGCTCTAGGTGCAATTCTTCAATGATGAAAATTGCAATTTATTGGTTGTAGCAAGTGCAAAGTTGTGCAATTAAGTGTTTGCTTAGTTGATTCAGTATTATAAGTATATTAATTTTAAACTGGATTTATTCAAAATGTCACATATTCCAAAATCTGTAGAATTTTTAGAAACAAATATTTATCACACTTTCACACTTTCTTTTTCCCTAAAACTATTGTTTTCGAAGTGAAAATTATTGAAGGATTTTAAATTTTGCCAAACCTTTCAATTCAATTTAATTCAATTTAATTTTACTAACAGATGTGAGTTTTCAAAATATACTTTACATAAACGTGTGTATACTAACCTATTACATTATAGACAAGTAAAAAAGGACACTGAAATCCAAAAACACATTAACATGTACTTATGTCATATGTACATATTTTAGTTTTACATAACCTTTTTTTCTCTTGTCTCTCAATTTTAATGGCATGAATAGGGACAAGGCCATGTCCACCTGCAGGTCTATCAAATTTTCTGATTCTCTTAATCTTGTAACTAGATGCTTGAATATATTTAAGATCCTCATTCAACAAGTTAAATATTCTATAACTTCTATAATTATGATTTTGTGTACCAATTTCTTTTCTAACATGTTACTATTTCATAATTGTTATCAAAAAATCTATGGACTGTGGGATCTTATATTTGGACTCTAATTAAATCTAAAGAAGCATCATTTCAGTAAAAGCTTACATAGAATTGTGTAATAATAAAATTCTATTTTTGGAAAAGTTTTTTAAATTTTCAGTTTCTTACCAAAAATCATTTGTTATGAAACCAGTAACGTTTATCAAATATTCAACTTCATATGTCTAACTTTCAAAATGGCTTATATTTTAGAAGCATTGTGAAAAATAAAATTTTCACTCTGTGGAGACTTATCATCTATTGTTCCAACTCCTGCGCCCACACCAATGTGGTTTTGATTATGCCAAATGGTCATTATTGCTGACAATAAGACCAAGCAATGCAAATCCAGGAATAAACCTGAAATAGAGATTATCTTTAATGCTTAGTCAGAATGAATGCATTTCATCTCAGCAGTCATATACACTGCTAGTATAATTTCCCTTTGTGTTATTTTATTTGTCTTGTACTGTGCTTCAAAATAATTGATAGCAGATTGAAAGAAGTTTAATTACATATCCTGTTTCAATCCTTTCAATATGAAGAATCAGAATAGACTGAAAAAATGACACTGTCCAAAAGCTTAGGAAGAATTATTTGGATGAGGCGTGCTCAACTGGCATCTGGCGAGTGCGAGCACTCTCCAGCACTTAAGATTGTGCTTGTGAAGTTATTGGATGAAAAACACTTGTGGTGGTGAGGGAAATGGAGAGGGAGTAAGCAGGGCCATCAGAGGAAAAGGCATGTAGGTAATCTTCAGATTTAAGTGATGATAGTATCTTCTGCTGTGTGGGCCGATAACAAATTCCTACTGATGGGAATGTGATTTGGGTCCAACAAATAATTTGTTATTTCGTAGTCCTTTATTAATTGTATAATCATTTTAAATTCCTTAGTTTTGTTTTAAACAAAATCTTACAATTTCCATAGTTACTCAAACATTGTTTATCTTAAGAAAAGCACCTAGTGATGTAAGAAAAGAAAAACCTCGAATAAAGTGACAGCTTGAACAATGATTTTGATGCTAAATAAATTATCAACTGATTCCTACTTCACAAATAAAACATGGTGTTAATATTCTATTGTATTGTAGTTTTGCTTCATACTTTTTGAAATAATAATCTTTTATAATTTTACCCTACATTTTTTCCTTCCAAATTCAAATGTATTTTTCATTGATAAATAAGATCCATGTATTACAGACGAACAGGAAATTAAAGACGTGAAACAGGAATTTATGGATATTTTTTATTTAAAAAAAGGTACAGCAAGTTAAATAGCCCAATACCTTCATAAAAAGAAGTTCCAGTACATTGAATTCAATGAAAGAGCCAAAACGTAATGACCATTTTAAAATTAAAAGCATAATACAAAATAAAGTTAATTTAACAATAATTTTGTAAATTATGTTTAATAGTTTTAAAAAGTGAGTATTGATTAAAATATAAATTGCCACATGGTATATTATCATTTGCAATTCTAGCAAGTCTGGGAATTGCAGAGACATGCATAAATTGAGATCTACAAAAATTTCTTGAAGTAACTTAACATTCCAATATTACATGGACTTGAATATTCAGCAAATAGATTCCTCGATGCAGCACAATCAACGCAGTAAGAAGTTTATGCATAGAGAGTACATCATTTGTCAATCTCGCAGATTGCAGTGATGGATTTTAATATTCATCATAAGTCAATAATTTAGCAATTACTAAGTAGTTATGACAATATATGAGATTTCAAAGATTAGCCTTACACACTGCATTTGAGAAAAAGTCCTGAACCTTTTCTACCCCTTAATTTAATAATTAGATCATACCAAAGAATAATACAAGAGTTAAGATATAACTAGAGAGTTGTATAATATTGAGAGTGCTTTTATTGAATTAAATTTGGATGTTTGTCTTTTAACAAAGCCCAATAACTGAAAAGATCTATTTATTACATAATCAAATTTGTTGACCAAATCGCATTTTACTATCAACAGTAATACCCAAATCCTTAATTTCGAAACACACTCAAAGTTCGAACCATCAATAGTAGCTCAACACAACTACAACCAAGCAACTTGCATTTATTTATATTCAAATTAACACAATTTCATTTTGACACGACTGTATAAGATTATGCAAGTCATGCTGCAAAAGTTCAGCAACATTTTTGTCAGAAATTACCCTCCAAAACTTACAATCATCTGGAAATAAACTAAAATTTCTGTTTTTAAACACATTAATTATGTCATTTATAAATATCGAAAATAACCAAGGACACAAATGAGAACTCAGTAGTACTCCTGATCTGATATTGTATGAGATTTAAAGATTTTGTTCCTGACAATTTGATTGCAACCTGTTAGATAACTAAAGATCCAATTCAATAACAATTGATTAATATTTAATAAACTCAATTTTTGAAGCAATATTTGGATATTTACACAGTCAAAAGGTTTAGAGAAATCAGTGTAAAACAAATCAACCTGATGACCTTTCTTTAAAGCAGACTTAACTTCCTTTGTAAACAATAGCAAATTTTTTGTGTAGATTTACCTGTAATAAAACTATATTGTTGCTCGCTTACCTTGGACTCATATTGAGGTTTCAAGTAATCAAATACAATGCTTTCAAAAATCTTTGCAACAGTACTAAAAATGCTTATCAGTCTATTATTACTAACATCAGTTTTATTTCTTTTCTTAAATACTGGAGTGATGTAACTGGTTTTCCAATTCAGAGGAAATATGTCTGAAATATGTCATACGGATTTATTATAAGTATAGGAAGAGGTATGCAGAGGCACAGTATTTCAAAATTTTTTCAGGGATATCATTAGGGCCTGTGTTGTAAGAATTTTTCAATGTTGAAGGCTTATTCAACTCCATTGTAGGTGTTCTATTTAGATCAAATTCTGTTATGTCACATTTAACAGTACAACTTGAGTCATTCGGTTGTTGAGATAAACCTTGATAATTCTGAGCTGCAGAGTAACAACCTTCAAAATGATTAGCCAGTAGGTGTACTATATCAACACCTTCAGTAGAGACATCATTATCGAGTTTCACTTAACACTTGTTTCACAGTAATTAGTACATCCTATATAATATCAACATTAAGTACAATATACTAATAAATGTGAAACAAGTTTTAAATTTGTTTTTAATGATTTCAATTTTCTGTCTATAATATATGGAATGTATTTGTCAATGAATAATTAAAACACAGTCAATATGTCATTATTATTATCAAATATTTTTTCCTTAAAAATATATTTTTGAAGTTTCTTGAAGTACCAATCAAGTTTTTGTTTATGGTTTTTTTAGGCACATAGTCTGTAAATATGCAACTTAACATTGCAATTCTGGGCTGTTTTGTACTATACCAAAAGCAGTAATGAAAGAATTTGCAAGAAGTTCAATATCACTATCTGCTTTCAAATTCTATTTGTGCAGCATGTTAAGTGTTTGTGCACACTGTTTCGTTTAAATCTTACAATCCACAGAGTGAAAGATCACAATGCCTCTAATGTGGCATGCACTCTGGAGATTACTGTAAGTATTCAACAACCCCATGGTCTCCTCCAGAGTGACATCCATCTTTTTCATCATTTAGTGGAACTCTTGTGTGAATTTCTGAGCTCTTGGAACAAGTCTCGCATTGCTGCTCAATGAGAAACTTGATCAGGCCTACTTTAGATGTCTTAAGTAAATAAAAATTATCTCATTAAAAAACAAAAGGTATAGTTTCTTTTAGAATCCTGTTTTTATTTGTTATCCAAGGCCTGCTGTCTCTGGTTTGATGGGATTTGATTTGAAGGGCTGAAGTCTCTTACTTATTCCATCGCATGCTTGCACTAATTTTATCATTTTAACTTAATTAGTTTGATTTCATTTTGTGATATAGTCACAGCATATATTGTTTCAATTTTTTTTCTTTTTACTGTTTTGCAGAGGAAGCAGTGGACTTCAATAAAGAATTTGAAGAGAAGACAAGGCGATCTGCAGGAGCAATTTCCTACAATGTGGGCTCTCGTCACGCACCTGGCCAGCGCCGCGAACGTGAGACAATGCGAGCATTGCCCCCTGCCACCAACACTTCAAGGTTAGTGGAAATCATTTTGAAGAGGCAAATCTTAGAATGTTATTAAGTGTATTGGATGTTGCATCATTCTAATGTTGGATGTTGAGACACATGTAGAAGATGTTATGTTCAATAAGTCATATTATGTTTCTTTCATATTCAATTTCATATCTGTGTTAGGTTTTAATACTACTTATTGGGGGGGAGGGTATCAAAATCTTTCTAGAATTGCTTAAGGAATAAAATCAGATTGAAAAAATATCAAAATATTGTGTAGTAATTCTGACACTTTAGATTTCACTGTGTGCTTATGCTATTAGAATAAAAAAAATTGAATAAACCAGATTTGAAATTATTAAAACTTTTTTTCTAGTAGGGTAAGAACGACATGCTAAAATCCCCCCCCTCCCCCTAATTTCTGCAGTTATGTTACTCCTTGGAAGTATCTAAAATGGTGATTGCTGATTTGTTCATTTGTTGATCACTAAATAATTTTTTTCTCTAGTTTTTTTTTAGGGTAAAAAAAAGCATGTTTCATAGCTGAAATAATATTTTCTTTTTTCTTAGTGTAGGGAATGGACTGTTTTAGAAGAAGTGGAAACATTGACTCACATCTATACTTCCCTTGTATCATTTTTCTTTCTTGAATGAACCTATTTATCAGTGTTTGTGTGGTGTTTTCTAAACATTGTGGAAATTCTTTTTAAATATATTGTTAACTTGTTGTTGAAAGTCTCCTCACAAAATGCAGGCTCGTACTGGGGATGCAGGGGGGAGATTTCATTCAAAGAATTCCATATTTTTTGCTTTAAAATTCCAATGACTTCTGATGAGAAAAAAGAAAATTTCATATCATATGCGACTCAGAATTGTGTAAATTTTTTTTATTTGTGCATTACTTTTGGGTGTTATACTGTGCTTAGGTTGTATAAAAGCTCAGGAGCTTGGGATTGATCGGAATTGATCTCAGAAGCATCAAGAGAGCAGAAAGTCTTCTGTTTATTTACGTGTAGCCTGCTAGTACAAGCAATGCTGTAATACCTGATTTTGACTTTAGGAGTCCCTTGCGGTTTAATGAAGTTTATATTTCTATGGGGATGTCTGTTCTTTTCAGTTTTAAATTTATTTTACTAAAATATTTATGCAGTTTGATAGGATGATGATAGACCAGGAAAATCTGCTTTTGTAAGGATTTTTCAATGATTGCTCCACGATCCAGTGAAGACCAGATTCACAGGAAAGTCAAAGGAAGAATCAGGTTTTATTTTTTTATTTCTATGGAAAAATTACTTTCGAAGTAATTAATTTACAAAATTATGAAAAATTAAGCTCTGAATGAAAATTGCTGTGCTCAAAAATGCTGTTCAGAAAAAATATTGTGGACTTTAAATGACAAGTCATTTAATGGTGGATTCATGTCGGAAGTTATAAAGATTGAATAGTGCATCTAGAGGAGTGTAATGCCGACACAAAATTTTTGCCAAATTGTAGCACCTACAATAGTGGAAGAGTTCTCATCAAAGCTGCATTATTAACCTGAAGAGTTCAAAAAATAAGAGTAATATATAAGTTTTCTATGGCAAATGTCTTATAAACGCCTTGTGATTACTAACAGTGGAAAAATGAACAACCCAATTGTTCACTGAGATTGTTCAATGTTTTTTGGTGAATCAGTAGATTTCGGGAATGAATGCATGGATGTTTCTTTAATTCATGTTGCTAAAATGGCTTAGTAGTGTCGCTCATCTTATGAAATAAGTATATACAAAGTTCAACACATGAAATAACTGCAAAAACTAAACAGAATTTTCTCTGTTAATCATGATACATTGCATAATCAATAAGGTATTTTAATGAATCTATTTGCTGTGTGGTATCGCACAAATTATTGTGAGAATGTAAATTAGAGCTGAGATTGTGGACAGCTTATCCTTTGGTCAATGTATTTACAGCAAAGTATCTGCAGATGAAATTGCTTGAGTTAGATTAATGTATTTTCTAACTCCCTTATACCCTACACATAAAGAGATGTATGATATTCATTTCTAAAGTTGAATTTCTGTCCTTGCAAATTTTCCTTTGCGTGACCAATGCACGTACTTTTATCTCCTCTTGAATTCTCATTTTGTTTTTTCAGCTCATTCATCTGCATAAAATATAAACATGAACTTCTCAAAACTCATACCTAAAGTTTCTTGGAACACAATAAATAACATAAATAAGTATACTCTTCATTCTCTATTTCTCAATTACAGTCTAAATTATTGATTATTGATGTTGTTTTTGTTTAGTGATGCAGATGATTTCATCATTTCATTTATAAAGAAATTATTTTTAAAATTATAAACAACATTGTATTAAAGTTTTTCTTTCTATTAGAAACAAATTAAATATCATTTGCTTCAATGAGTTTATGTGAAGATATTTTCATTGAAGAAATTTGTATTTTCTGGTGTTTGCTGGAACATCATAGCAATCATTTCAGTGCTTTGTTTCATCCTTTATGGGACCCTTGAATCACAGGACCCACAAGAGTGTTGCTGCACGGGGTGCTGAGAAGCACAGTGGGCATGCAGGCAGTGCGCAGCCACCACACATGATCAGGCACAGACTGAAGGGAGGAGCGCATCGGAAGAGTGCACGAAAAGGCGGTGCTTGAGTTAGGGCAACCCCCCTCACTACCTGTTGCCGCTATATTTCCTGTTAGTATTGAATAAAAAAGCACGTTGTATGATTGTGCAAAATGCTTTGATAAAATTTATGAAGTATTAACAGTTTGTGTTTAAATGAATGTTATTCATGGCCAAAAATTTTTCTCTTTGCAAACAAATCAGCTTTGAAAAATGTTTTGTTACAGATTTGTGTGGCTATTAGAAACATTTTGAGAAAGTTTCTCCCAAAGTAAATATCTCATAGCCTCAACATGTTTACAGAGCATGAAACTTAATATTTTTACCCCAAAAAATTATTATTACAATTTTGCAAAGTTTTCAGTCACATTGAAGACAATTTCTTCAATTACATCTTTTCCATTTAAATTCAATAGTGTAGAAGACTCCTTGCTTCATTACACAAGTCATTAAAATTTTACAGTAAATATTTTAGTGAAACATCTTCAAAAACCTTCATTTGGCAGCTATAAATGTAGAAAAATATACAGCATTTTTTAATTATTTTTTTAATTCTGCAAGATATGATTACATATCAATCATTTCATTATATGATGTGTGTCAGCAGACGCAGAATGCACCCTCATCCTCGTCGTGAACATCGAAAAGTGTCTTCAGAGTCAGATGCTGCTGATTGAAGTGAATGTTAAAATTCTGTATGAATTACATATTCTCTTGATAAAAGTTAATGCAGCCTATAATATATTCAGTTCTATCGTAATAAAAATTCATTGCTAATCTTAAATTTATTTCATCTTTGTACTGTTAAGAGCTTTTATGGTATTTGTTGTTGTTGGATTTTTTTTTTATTTTTTATTTTTTTCTCCTTATATTAATTATTTTAGGATATCTTAATATTATTTGTTTCAACATTATGTAAGTAATATTTCAATCTTTGACTTTTTCTTTTTGAAGATTCAAATTGACAATTTCTGTTGAAGGAATATAGTTTCAGAATCAGAGTTTTTGAAATAAATTGTATGACACTGAAATTGTACATTGAACAAAAGGAGACATTTTTACTGAAAGCTGGTATAGTTTTGACAGGGTGGTATTAAACACATGTAATTTCAGATTCAATGTGCACTGTAAGTCTGGTAAAACTGAGAGCCTCACTTCATTCTTAGGAATAATTATATCCCAAATTGTGCTAGTTTAACCTATGTCCTACTGGAATCAATGAATACATCTTTTAGTTTTCATTTTCTTTGATATGGGGAAAACAATGTGATTTTTTTTCACTATTTCTGAATGTTATTACCTGCTTAGTTAAGGAAAGTTTTTCCTACTTGTAGCAAGTTTGTTAATCTCAGCCATTGCCTTAGATTTGAGAGCCTCCTCATATCTTACTATCGTATTAAGAGTGGATTCGGACAACTTTTTAGCTATGTGTTCCTTCATAAACTTGAACTTCCTCTAAAAATATGGATGTTTCTTGAGTAGAAGGACTCGTTTTATCGTTTTAAATTCATTTCAGCACAGAATTAATACTAAAACTTTCTTAACATAGTATAAAATGCAAGATCTTCACACATCTATTACCCAATTATTACATCTTACTTACACATCTCATACCCAACTATTGGGAACTCTCGATAATTATTTCACATGTAGAAAAAAAAGGTTATTGATAAAAATGTTCATTTATTTTTCTTTAAGGTTCTTAAAGGTTCTTTTCTTTTTCAAAAATGTTCTTGGCTGTTTGAAATACATCTATATTAAATTATAAATTATAGTTAATTAAATAAATATGTAAAAATTAAATTTCATATATTCTATATTTTTATACATATACATATTTTATTTTATTGGCATTCTTTGTCAAAAAGCTCAACAAAATCTCAAAGGGTTGGAAATCATTAAAAAATTATGTTGGCAGATTCAGCATATTTATTTATTAATTATTAATAAACGCAATGAATCGTTTACAAAAATAAATAATTCATACATAATTACATAAACATAACTGCAAAATAAAGATTAAAATGAAGTCATAGCCATAAAAAGGATGAGTGTTTTAAAAGAAAAGGATATATGATTTAGAATCAAGAGTGTTAAAGAAAAAAAATTGTCTTTCAAAACTCTTAGGTAAAGTCGGGATTGAAAAAGACGAAGGCAAATACAAAAATTTTAAAGTGGTGATTGAAAAAATCAATGCTATTGGGATAGTAATTAATAGTTCTAGATAATATATTGAATATATCATAATGGCTGTTGTTAGTAGATGATGAATTCACCTAAAAGTAGGCAGGATTTCTGCTTGTTATTGTGGAATATGAAGAAAGATAAGAGAAAGAAGATCAGGGTAATTGATGAGACCATGTAGTATTTTATGAAAGAAAATTAAATCAT